GATCCCCACCTGAACTGCTCCAATCAAGCGGCTACCCACCGCACTCAAACAAGCAGCTCTACCTGAACAGGGTAGGGGGTGGCCTATGATCACATCAGCTTCTACATACGTTCGAACCTGAGGGAGGTGTGTAAGCCCAGGGTACCTTGCATGGTCACGTGGACTATCCAGCGACCAATCAGCCCACTACTCTATGTATATAAGCTTAGATCACAGACCTCTCGGTGATCAGAAGAAGAATACACACAATCTACTTACATAACCCCTATGTGTAAATTAACCAATCAAGTCAATCAAGTCAATCTGAGCTACTTCAAAATAGCTTCAATCAATCCACATTCAATCAGCAGCTAGGCTGCTAACAATCCAGTCAATCGACGACGCTGAGATTGATTGGATTGCTTGTTGCGGAGTCTAATTGCCAGCAGCTCCAGGTGCTCGAGGAGGAGTAGGTACAACACCAAAAAGCTGAGACAAACAGACTTCGTGAGGAGGTAAGGCATGCAAAGTTAAGAGAGAAGGAGATGAGGCAGCAGGCAAGGACTGCAGCCAGGCTCGTGAGGAAGAAGGCTGAGAAGGTTGCTGAACAGGCCTCTAGAGCAGCAGCTCGCAGGGCTGCAAAACAACTTCAACAAGCTATTAAAACCTCCTGAAAAGGTAAGAAGCGCAGCCTCAAGGCTCCTGCAAAAGCTACTCCTAGAAAGAGATCTATCGCGAGGCCTACAGGTGGTGGAGAGCCTCAAGGTGCTGTTGCAGGTGCACCAGCAACTTAGTCACGAGGTGGACGCGCAATTAAAACTCCAACACGATTTCTATAGCTATATATATCAATCAAGCCCTATAGATCTCACCACCAGAAGATATCGCGATAATAGCTGTTTGGTGAGACACTACAGCCTTAATTGTGGTAGTGGATTTGGTGTTCAGGTGGCTCGAATGGCCGTCGGGCTCGCACGGCCGTCAGCCTCGGTAGGCTCTAGACTGTGGAGCAAAGGCTGGAATCCCAAAGTGCCACATCAGGTCCCAACTTGGCTCATCTGGCACCGGGGTACGTTTTGATGGCGGACAATCTAGCCAGGATCTACAACTTATGTCATTTCAAGCCTGTCATGAAACAACTATATCGCTTCCAGATGGAGTAGACGCGATACTCAAAGCGGAACCTATGGACGAAAGTCCCATTAACATGGTTTACAAGCGAGCGCCGCACCCCACCAACTTTGCGCGCCTCTACAGTCGTATATCTCAACAACGTGATAATATAATATATAGATATTTATATAGCAGATTAAGCAGTATCTTTAGTATCCTTCTTGCATGTACGTGAGTTGTGGCCAGTCTCCCTGCACCTCGTGCAGCGCGCCAGAGCCTGGCGGCTGAGTCCTGATCGCGCTCCTCCTTGACGCTCTTCACGAGAAATCTGCTGCTCAACCTCACGTTGAGCGAGTATATCCTCTCCCTCTCCCTTTGTTAAGGTCCCTCGCTTCTGTATACGCTTTTTTTTACGCTGTTTACGCGCTGAGGCTGCCTCATTAGCCCTCTCAAGGCTGGCAATCCGATCGCGCATCAGCTCAGCTGAGAGCATCATCACCTCAGCGCCCTTCTTAAGCTGGTCAATCGCTTCAATAATAGAGGCAGGCGATGAGCTCTTGTGCCGCCGAACGCGATCACGTATCAACGTTGATTGAGCCTCAAGCTCGCGTACGTTGCTCGGCGTACGCGCCTCCCAGAGGGCCTCTGGCAGGGCAGCTGGAGTAGGCGTACGCAGCTGCACGTCAAGCTTCGATAGTACAGTATCTGGTTGGAGAGGCACGAGGCCTGCGCCTCGGAAAGCTGAGCAGATATTAGTTGACGTAAACGATCGATTAAAGGCTACCTTAAAGGCTGGGAGAAACTCGAGCTTCGTGATATGGTTGATGTGGTGACAGATCAGGCTCTCTACCTCACGGCTGTACGCGCGCTTCAACGGCGAGAAGCAGCCAACGTCAAGAGGCTGGAGTAGGTGAGATGAGTGAGGTGGCATACAGAGCGTGTAGATGTTGTTCTCCTTGCAGAGCTCTTAAAACTCAAGAGAGTGGTGGCTCCCATGGCCATCAAGGACGAGCAGGCGACGCGCACCAACAACGCGAGTCTTCGTGTAAGCGTCAAAGTGCTTTAGCCACTCAACTCCTAGCTCGTTGTTTTTCCAGCCATTATCGCTAATTTCAATCGCCCAGTCGCGTGGGATATCCTCCTCGTACCAGGCAGACAGGTGATACTGGCCAGCAAAGATAAGGAATGGTGGGATTGTCCAGCCAGCTGCGTTGATCGCAGCGATCAACGTTACCCACTCACGATTGCCTGGCTGAATAGCCTTTGGTCTGCCTCTTCTCTCTGACCCTGTCACGACAAGCTTAGTCGTGATCTTGCCCATCATAAAGCCAGCCTCGTCGAAGTTGTAGACGTCCTCATCGCAGATGCCGTACTTGGTCTTTGTCTCCTCTACAAGCTCAAACCAGCTCCTAATTAGAGCTGGATCCTCGCATAGAGCTCGCTGCCTATCGTACGGTCGATTAAAACACGTCGTGAGACTGTCTGTACGCTTGACAAAGTTGCGCGGCCAGTGGACGCCGACCTGACTAGCGCCGCGCGTAGTCAGTAGCCTATTAGCTATATCACGTACAGCTTCGTACGTAGGCGCAAATCCACGCTGATCTAGGTCGAGTATATAGCTAATAATCACCTCCTCTTCTCTCTGGGTAAGCTTTCTTGAGTTGGGCTGGCAATCGCGTCGGGCAGGTACACCAGCGCGTCGGCGGCGGATCGTTCGTTCAGACACGCTATAGATAGCAGCAGCATTGCGATTACTCTGTATTTGATAAGAATTAATAGAGAAGATAGCAAGCTGAATATCTGCTTCATTTGAAGCTGGTAGAGTAGCGCTACGCTGAGCCATTGTACGTTAAGATGAGAGAGGTGCGCAAAGTTGGTGGGGTGCGGCGCTCGCTTGTACGCGGCGCTCGCTTGTAAACCATGTTACAACATATTAGCGTCTCCGATCGATCCTAACCGTTCAGATTGTCTGTAATGCACGCTCTTCCCTAAGCCCTATTTAGTCCCGATTACAGTGGCACATGTCGGTGAACATGCGATGACGTACGATAAGCGCCACTAATGATTTAGAAACCCAATCACGAATCTCACGCAAAATTGCACCGTACGATTCGCCTACTCAACACATCTACTCTCTTTGTACCAAGTCCATCCATCCGACCAGGTCCTCAAAATAGAGCCTGTGTCTGCATGAAAGTGTCGCAAATGGCCTCTCACCAACACGACGTTCCAAGGCGTCTGCCTATGCTGCTCCCCGCCCCCGCTGGCACCATTAAGCCGCCGGAGCAGCCGCGGAAGAGGCCCCGCCTTTCTGCGTGCGACGCTTGCCGCACCCGCAAAACAAAGGTAACGCAACAGACCGCGTAGATGCTCGCTTTTCGTTGCATTAATGTACTGTGCAGTGCACCAATGAACAACCCCAATGCAGCCAATGTATCAAGCACCAAACCGCTTGCCGCTATTCAGAGACGGAAGCGAGGGTCGTTAGAGTAAACCTCATCTATATCAATAACATTTCTTAGCTAATACACAACAGAAAAGGTACGAAGACCTCAAAACTCGCATGACGGCTCACGAAGAGCTTTTTGAACTTTTGCGATCTATGCCCGAACCAGAAGCGAAAGAAGTGTTTCAACGTGCTCGATCCGGTGATAAGATCGAAGAGATCCTTGCTCATGTCAAGAACGGAAGTCTACTTATGCAGCTGGCTGTCGCACCTGAGACCAACCGCCGCTACGAATTTCCATATCGCTCAGAGATGCCGATGCATCTGCTCGTTCCAGACAACCAATACTTGGGATTCTATAGTGTACGGCTCCTTGTCGGGTCTGTACCGATCGGACCATACTGTATCCTCACGCCATCTAGGTGCGTCGTGTGTACTGTTCAGATTGTACAGGACCCGTACCTGAAGCCTATCCATGCAGCAGAACTTGACGATCCATTGTTGTCACAAGTATCGGCCTCGAAATGGACTAATGTCATCTCAAATGATGTACTTTTTCGAAGGCTGTTGAGTAATTATTTCCTTTATTGTCACCCACTCCTATACTGTTTCCACATGAAGTATTTCCTGCGAGATATGGTTGCCGGACAAACTCGATTCTGTTCGTCCCTCTTAGTGAACGCTGTACTTGGTGCCGCTTATGTGAGTGTGCGATTTAGGGTAATTACAGCCTGGTTGCATACATTCGCTAATTTGAAATAGCAAACATATGGCGCAGACCCTGACCGATCCAAGCATTGGCTGCCGGATAACCTTGATACAAGTTCCTTGCTGAGGCGAAGCGGCTGTGGGAATTGAGACAGCTGATAACGTTCAACTCACAACAATACAAGCTGCGATAGTCATACATCTGATCTGCGACTTGATCGGTGTGGACCACGTAAGTTGTGTTTACACTGCAGAGGCTAAAGCTGACATGTTACAATCTAGGTCGGCAACGCCTTCACTCAACAAGCAATTGCCATGTCGCAGGAGATCAATCTGTTCAAAAGTCCAACCCACATCAAAAGTAAGAGGATGCGGAATGCACGTATACTGTCGGCATGGGGGCTTTTTGACTGGGTTAGTGGTGTTCAGAGCTATTCTCGACGTGGACCACGCTGACGTATCTGTTTCGTACTTCTAGTGTTTGTTTGAAGCATATCACATGTTCCGAATGCCGTTATTAAAGGACCCACCTGAGATGCCATTTCCGGATCCCTTGACAAACCCGGGCTTCCATGATGAGATGTGGCTACGTTACCCACTCGCCACGTCGACCGTGCCTGCCTATTACGCTCACACTATCACCGCAAGGAGACATCTCAGTCAGATCAAGAACGATGTTGTTTACAAAGTTCGAAGTTGGAATGGATTTGAAGATCCGCTTCTATTCAGTACCATACTGCAAATAGAGAACAGACTGAAGAATTGGTTTCAGAACCTGCCGCCGGCTATGCAGGCGAGGAACATCGTTTTTCCACCGCAGCTAGAAGTTCAGTAAGTAAACGATTATGCACTCCAACTATTGAAAGCTAAGAGATGCAGCCTTGAATATCACAGCATCATTGTCGAGCTGTTCCGACGAGGCAGAACCGGGGCAGATAGATCCCTGTCCGCGAGGAGGATTCTCGAATCGAACATTCGAATGGAGACCATCCTGCGAATTTATTACCTCCGTCATAGCTTTGACAGCTTCACTAATACCATGATGGTCTTCATGGTCTACATTGGCAACTTTGGCTCTCGAAGGCCTAAGCAGCAATCAGCTGGACAACGCTAACGTTGAAGCCCTCCGATCAACCCTCATTCTGTGCGTCAATGGTCTGAAAAGCTATGGGAAAGCATTCCACGTCTCGAAGCTCGCTTATTATGCTTTAAGCATGCGAATGTCTCCGCGTGACTTACGACTGCTGCAGGCGTATTCTGGCCCAGAAGACAATGCTGTAGACGAGCAAGCATTAATAAGCCATGTTCATAGGTATGCGTGTATGTTGCCCACTACTGCACTTATTTGTTTTGTAGTCCTGTTAGTTAACAAATGATAGCTCCTGGCCTATCCCTATCTTCAACGTCAAAGATGAGGACCCCGAGAAAGCGAGGTTAAGAAACCTGATTGAACAAACCGAGAGAGTCTCATTAGCGGACGATTCTAGCTTTAGTAGTACACCTGAGCTGCGATGAACAACCTCTTACCATGTGTGACGCACCAACGCGCACTTCGAACATCTAAACAGCCCTACAACATGGGGCTGTAGAGCCTTACACAATAGCTATTATCGCGAGATTTTTTGGTAGAGAGATAAATAGAGGCTAAGAAATATATCGCGCTATTGATATCGTGTAGAAGGAGTAATGTTGCGGCTACGTCGTGACCTGAGAGGTACTGCACTTGCCACAGCACCTTGAGGCTCTCCACTACCCACAGGCCTTACAACAGCTCTTTTTTTAAAAAGCAGTTTTTGCAGAAGCCTTAAGGTTGTGCTTCTTACTCTTTTGCAAAGTTTTAAGAGCTTGTTGAAGTCGTTTTGCAGTCCTGCGAGAAGCTGCCCTAGAGGCCTGTTCAGCAGCCTTCTTAGCCTTCTCCTTCTCCTTTGCCTGTCTAGACTCCTCAAGAAGTCTATTTATCTCAGCCTTATGGCGTTGTAGCAGCCCCTTCGCGCGCGCTCCTACAGACCCACAATTATTCTTAAAATTTCCGTTCGCTAAATTATGTTCTGATTAAAGTTACTGCCAGACGATGTTACTGTGAAGCAATGGTATCATCTGAGATATTGGGCGCATGGGTTAGGAGAGTTGCGTTGGATTACTGACAAACATAAGATAAGTCGCTACTCGGTGATGTAGCTATTCGTAGATATCTATACAAGGCACTGGGCCTACGCTGACTCGACGTGCTGGCAGCTAATAGGCAGCCGCGATCAGAAGCCAGGCTCGAGCATTATGGTTTCCAGTAGGAGAAGACATCACGGCCGACGATAAGTATTGTAGGCGAAGCCTAAGACGGGATCTACTGCAGCTTCTCCAGAATATATGAGAATGATCGCAATAGTAACGAAATTAGGCTTTAGGATATAGTAGGGTGCGCCCTAGTATATAGAAGATGTGCCATTGAGTTTGCGGTTAAATCCTCGATAGACCGTGAAGGATGTATTGTTGTCGCCCTACACAACCTGTCGAAAGAATGTATTCCTACGCCTACTATTTGTTGTACATAATGAATAGTAACCGGACGTGTAGCGATTGAAAAGCTTTGCTGAGTGTCACGCATAGTGTCAAATTTGAGGCTTCCGGCAAACGGCCGTATGTTTAGCGACCATTCCGAGTGCTACATCTGCTCGAGCTATCCTTGTGATGGGTAATACTCGAAGTGTTGTTGTTGTTGTTGTTGTTGTTGTTGTTGTTGTTGTTGTTGTTGTTGTTGTTGTTGTTGTTGTTGTTGTTGTTGTTCTGGCAGGTGTTCCACATTTGAAGCCTGCCCACCATCATGACTGTCTTGTGATGTGTTCACATGTGACAGGTCCAGGTCAAAAGCATTTAAATATCCTGGTTGGTCCCACAGGCTTTGCATGTTCACAAATGGTACACCATGGTTGAAGTTTGTAAAAAATGGATTGTCAAAGGGCATCGGTACTATGGATTCGTCCGGCAGGTAAAACGGGTCGAAGCTGTCTTGATGTCCAGGCAGATTGTCCAGTGGGTAGTACTGAGAAGGCCGAGGGTCGAAAGTGCTACTGGTATTCATTAAATTTAGGCGAAAGTTCTCCTGTGGCACCTCCGCAGTTTGCTGGGCGTTGTATGGGATATGATGATGCTGGTAAGCATCAGGTCCTGGAGTTTCTTCTTCATACAAGTCGAGCAGTTCATCAGCCTGGGATTGCAGAGCCGGAGAAAATCTCTTGAGAACTCCCTTGATGACATGGTGTGCTCGAGCGGCGACGGGATCGTTATGTCGCATTGCACGTAACCAGCGAATCAGTTTTCTGATGGAAACGACCATGCTAGGCTCAGAGCTCTCCATCTCTCTGTTCCTGTAGGTCATATCTAATATGAGTACCGCAATTGATTGCATGACTAGGACGGATAAAATCAATTCATGTTGCATATTTCACGCTTGGCAAAACTTACTAAAATGAACAATTGCCCACCATGGCCCCTTGGAGTAGATGAAATCAAGGTCCGGATCGTCAGGAAATAGTTTGGTCATTTCCAAAGCAGCTCCGACGCAAGCTTCCGCGCTTGTCTTGTTGAACTCGACAGAAGCCTTGCTCTCGTTACGAATGCGCCGCTCTATCTTGCAGAGACATGGTCGTGTGACGAGCATCTTAGTGCTCCAGTAGTCTGCCTTAAGGAGGAACTGTTCGCGTTCAAGGCCTGTCATGTGCTTCTTTCTTGCAGCTTGACAACCTCCGGGTAATGCTGCCTTCGACCATTCCTCGAGCTCGTTAAGCAGTCCTGAGATACTTCCTTGAACGGACTATGGGGACCCACTGTTAGCATATAAACGCAAAAATATTTAGAGGAAATAAACATTGTTGTGGCTATCAGGCGGAAGATTGATACAAAAAGATAACTGTACTTCAGCTTCACATACAAAGTCCAGTCGAAACACGTACCTTCCAAGACCTGGCAGCAGTTCGAGGTGAGTACAGCTCGAGTAAAGCTTTCTGAGAGATGAATGCAATGTTTATATGATTCATGAGGTAGTGATCTCGGCCTGGGTCTCGCTGGCCACTTTCGGACGTGTAGCTGTCTGTCGTAGTGTGCGGCGAGTCGTCCCCGGTACCCCTCCGTGCGAATTTCCTCAACGTATCTCTGTGGTTCAGCTGTTCGCCTGGGAGGCTGCGTGGCAAAGATGCTGTGCAGTCCTCGAAAGCGATCACGGGTGGTCTTCCGGTGATCGCACTGACTAGAGACTCAGTAGATTGTAAACTCCACCAGGTGCGCACAAGCAGTTCTTTCTTTGATTCTTCTGCTCCAGGGTCTTCATTCCGCAAATGAAGACCAAGAGCGAGCGCGAGCCGTATGGATATTCCAATCATGATCCATGCTCTGCTCACATGGCCTATCGCGAGGAAGTAGAATGCCAACGCGCCGGTCTGTAGGGATTCTAGTCAGTTCAATTCATGGCTAATCTAGAATTGAGGCTGTGTGATCCCTACCGCTTGTACTAGTCCAAGGTTCGGCGCTGAAATAACCATAACAGTGTTCTTCAAGCCAAGAAGATGCACAGCTCTAGTCATGTATATCAAATGATCACCATCATCCCCTCTCCATTCGGCGCCAATGAGGTGAGAGTATTTTGCGCCTATAGCCAAGAGCAGATTCATTTGGGTTCGCCACTCTTGCGGTACCTGATATGCACCATTATGCCTCAGTGCACTCAAGTACCTGCGAAACTGGTCTGCAAAGGTATGGGGTACCTGATACATAGAAACACTAAGCCAACAACATTCACTAGTGGCATGTGATTATTGGGGAAACTCACAAGGGAAAAGGAAGGGTGAACAGTCGCAAAATAGCAGTTGAACAGTTTTTCTGCTATATCAGGGTCCGGGTCTTCGTAAGGATCGACAAAGATATCCGTTTCGATGTCGTCGCTGTCGAGGTAGAACGTAGTGTCGTTCATATACCTCATTGAGCCTTGTCTTGAGTGCTCTTTGATATTGTCGCGACGGTCATGGAGAGCATCCGAGCGCTCACTAGCAGCATCTCGTGTCGAGCCTGGTGGGCCATGTGGTTGACCGTAAGGCTCTGCTCCCGTATCTTCGGTTTGGCGCTGTGCACTACGGAGCCACTGAACTTCAGAGTTTAGACCAACATAGCCGGTAGCCCTCGATTCATGATCACGCATCAAGTCCTCGTCGAGATGGTCGAGATCCTCGTTCGAACCAACCGATGCGGTCACGTGTGCTTCACCATGTGCTTCGCCATCCTCGTCCTCACTAGTGGATGGTTTCCTGCTGCGCTTTCCCAAATTGAGAGACGCGCTCGTCGCATGTGAGAGTATGTCGTCGGCAGCCTAGACGAAACAAAAATTAGTCATGCACAACGACGGATAGAGCTAGATGTAACATATAAGAGCAAGCTTACATGTTCGAGAGCATCTTCAATCCTCTGCTTGTTGTCATTGTCAACGTGCTCGCTCAAATCCCGGAGAAGGGCTGCCAGTGTATGGTTCAGCTGTGTGGCCCTGTACGCTTTCAGCAAGTGAAGACTCAGGTTTTCGGATGGTCATACTCTCTCAGACGATCTCTCCGAGCTTGCTCATAGATACAGTTCGATGACTTGAGTCGGCAGTTGGAACAATGCGGCACTTCGCCGGAACATTTGATTTCTAGCTGAGTAAGCAGACAAGTTCAATGTAGTTGCAGAATGAGGGACACTAACTTCGTTTACGGCATGCTATACAAGCTCGGGCTCTAGAAGTATCAGCACGGAGGCAAAGAGCATTGTTGACTTTCACAACGTACACGTGGCCCTCTCTACTCCTCTCACTTGACATGGGTGGCGGTGACGGTGGTGGAGCACGCTTGAGCCTAGGGATGGCCATCTTGGGGCCCTGCGGGAAGCTTCCCAGCTCTTGAGAATCGCCCTGCATAATGACAGTGGCTGCCTCGCCCGTATAGTTGCGAACTCTCTAGTACGTACTCGACAATGACGTCACGTCACGTGTTGTGTTTCGGGCTTGTGGTGACTGCGATAGGTTTGCTGCTGTTCCAAAATGCGTGCTGAGGAGGTGCGCGAGCGTTGTGGCGGATCGAAGATCGAAGAAGCGCAGGCCACTTGGACCAGACACAAATCAGGTTGTTGTTTGGCTGTCTTGTGTGAATCTGAAGCTTGATAAGGGTAGTTCGATAAGATGCAAAGGAAGGCTCAAGCTACATTCTTCGAAAACCTCTGGGTTTTTTGTTGTAGTGTCGCCTTCGTTGCTGTGTGGTAAGTCGCGTCGATTTTGGTGGGGTGCGCAGCATAACTGAGTTGGACAGACCTACAGGCGGTAGTGGATACTAGCCCAGGATTTCTGCGGCGTTTGGCGCTCCTCGGCAAAGCGACCCATGGACAGATCCAGGTGGGTGGGCACATTGCAGCGGCACTCCGCAATCCTTAGCTCGGCACATAGGTTTTGATGGGGCAATAAGTTAAGGGCACGCTTTCGTGGGATGTGTTGCTGTCGCACGGCTGCGTGCGGGTGTTGTAGACGTGCGACAGTCAGAGGAGAGCGTATGTGTTTGTTTTTTGAGCCCAGCTTATATTTAAGCCATCATACGGAACGATTAGTAATACAGTTCATTCCACGGCAGCGCTGGCCCGTGACTGATTTTTTACAGCTCGACATAGGGTTGAGATTACCCAACAGAGGATGTTATACGATGTCCGTTGAACCATGCGGAGGGATCGCGCACCAATTATGATAATCGACAGCCACGTCTGCCCTCCAAAAAGTCCCCGATATAACCAACCAATAAGATAGCGGAAAAACGAAGCCAACGCCAATTGTACCGCCTTCAAGATTTCCGCAGTGAGTTAACATTCTAATGCATCCTCGCGATTGGTATTTGTAAAGATGTAGTTGCAATCTTGCCAGTTGCTATTACTTTACCTACCTGCGCTGTTTGAACTATAGGTAGTGAAGCATCTAAAGTAGATTGTTTGCGCTTACGGCCGCGCTGGCCCTTTACTAAACTATTTTTCTCTTTTGCAGCACACTTCGCCCTTGCGTCCTCAAGGTCTTCATTACTCACCACCTCTGCCTTTCCTAGCACTTCGGCCTTAGTCGATTGGCAGATATCAGTTTTGTTGTTGATTTAGAGGAGGGGTTGATTGCGAGCTTCCAGAAGGCATGCACTACACTCAAGTCGAAATTGCATCAGAATAGTCGTTCGAGTCAGCCGAGAAGATTAGGGTTCCTTTCGGTATAGCAGAGCGTTCACATCATCTCCTAGTTTCGCCTCCTCTGATCGCAGTTTCAAAACGTTGTGCGTGAGTCTCCTAACGTGCCTGGCAAGCGAGCGCCCGTCCCCGCAACCGAGTCCGGCAATTTCCCTGTTTCTAAACCCTCCTTATCGTGAGTTGTCATAATTTTGTTTCGCTTCAACCATTGATGCACCAGAGCACACTTACTCACTACGTAACCCTCTGCAGCCAACTTGATCGTGTCAATAGCGTTTGGTATAGCACACAGGAAGGCAAGGCTCCACAAGTCTACGTCACATTATGTGGGACGGAGGCTTAGGTGGCGGACGGCACACGCACGGACACGGGAGCTCGCAAGTCTGCCTGCGCTAGGATCTAAGATCCAGAGGTCGTGGGACGGCTCTATGACAATCTTCATACGCCGTTCGAGCTATAAGAAGCGATAGCATCTCTCATCGGACTTGGATGGTCCGCGACCGCATTCTAGCAACATGAACATAAGCATCAGACTCTCGCTGTCCGCATTGCCGTCCTGCGGCTTAAGTCGTTAGAAGTAAATGTCTTCCACTCCGGCTGAGAGCCGCGGAGCCTTTTTGAGCAGCGACCGGGAGAACGGCAATGATCCTGCTGGTCTGTGGACCGAGACCACAAGGATGATGTCTGGGTGTGGTGCTGTTGGGCTGATTGGATATCAAGTCGCTGGAGACTGTTCCCGAAAACATAGATGCGGAGACCAAGTAACGTGTTTTATAAGCGAGTCGTCCTTACAAGCGAGTCGTCCACCCCACCAACTTTGATCACCTTTGAAGATCAAATCAGTTATGCCTCAACGCCAACAAGCTCTATTGCGCTCATCTGAAGCTGATATGCAGCTTACTATATCATCTCTTAATAGCCACCAGATCAAGACTGAGAGAGCTGCTGCTCGCGCGTTTAACGTCCCTCGAATGACGCTACGCGACCGACGCGCTGGCAGGCTTGCACGACGCGATTGCCAGCCCAACTCAAAGAAGCTTACCCAGCTAGAGGAGGAGGTAATTATTAGACATATACTGACCTTGATCAGCGAGGATTTGGGCCTACGTATACAGCTGCGCGCGATATGGCTAATAAGCTGCTTGCTGCGCGTGGCGCAGGTCGCGTTGGCGTCCACTGGCCGCGCAACTTTGTCAAGCGTACAGACAGTCTTATGACGCGTTTTAATCGATCGTACGATAGGCAGAGAGCTCTATGCGAGGATCCTGTGCTAATCAGCCGCTGGTTTAAGCTGGTAGAGGAGACAAAGGCCAAGTACGGCATCTGTGATGAGGACGTCTACAACTTTGACGAGGCTGGCTTTATGATGGGCAAGATCCAGACTCAGCTAGTTATCACAGGGTCAGAGAGGAGAGGCAGGCCAAAGACTATCCAGCCTGGCAACCGCGAGTGGGTGACGGTAATTGCTGCAATCAACGCTGCTGGCTGGACAATCCCACCGTTCCTCATCTTTGCTGGCAAGTATCACCTGTCAGCCTGGTACGAGGAGGATATCCCACGCGACTGGGCTATCGCAGTTAGCGACAACGGCTAGACAACCAACGAGATAGGAGTAGAGTGGCTAAAGCACTTTATTAAGCATACTGAGGGCAAGGTAGTTGGAGCACGCCGCCTGCTTATCCTTGACGGCCACGAGAGCCACCAGTCTCTTGAGTTTCAAGAGCTCTGCAAGGAGAGCAATATCTACACGCTCTGCATGCCAGCTCACTCATCTCACCTACTGCAGCCTCTTGACGTAGGCTGCTTCTCGCCTATGAAGCGCGCGTACAGCCGTGAGATTGAGGCTCTAATGCGCTACAATATCAACCATATCACCAAGCTCGAATTCCTGCCAGCCTTTAAGGCAGCCTTTGATCGATCGTTCACCTTAGCCAATATCTGCTCAGCTTTTCGAGGCGCAGGCCTAGCCCTCTCCAGCCAGACGCTGTTCTATCAAAGCTCAACGTGCAGCTGCGTACGCCTACTCCACCAGCTGCTCTCGCAGAGCTCCCTGGGAGGCCTCGTACACCAAGCAACGTACGTGAGCTTGAGGCTCAATCAACGTTAATACGTGATCGCGTGCGGCAGCATAAGAGCTCATCACCAGCCTCGATTATTGAGGCGATTAACCAGCTTAAAAAGGGGGCTGAGGTGATGATGCTCTCAGCCGAGCTTATGCGCGATCAGATTACCTGCCTTGAGAGAGCCAACGAGGCAGCAACTAAGCGTAGGCAGCGCAAAAGAAACGGATACAGAAGCGTGGGACCTTAACAAAGGGAGAGGGAGAGGATATACTAGCTCAAAAGGAGGCTGACCAGCAGATTGAGCGTGAACAGCGTCAAGGTGGTGAGCGATCAGGCCTTAGCCGCCAGGCTATTGCGCGCTGCAGGAGGTGCAGGGAGACTGGGCACAACTCACGAACGTGCAAAAAGGATGCTGTAGATACTATTTAATCTACTATATTAATCGCTTTGTTCTACCTTATTACGTTGTTGCGTTGCGTAGCTTTGAAGGTGATCAAAGTTAGTGGGGTGGACGACTCGCTTGTAAGGACGACTCGCTTATAAAACACGTTACAGTATCGCATTCGTAACGTTGGGCCCAGTGGGTTAGTGCATTCATGTGCTGTATGGCAGCCTGCTGGTTACCAAACTCACGATCGCATGTCTCGCACTCAGTATCATAGAACATGTTGAACTTGTCTTTTGAGGTTTTGTTGGATAGACATGGCTGCAACGTGGCATGTACAGATCGACGCAACACTGGCGAATGAAGAGACTCTTCGATAAATAAAATGACTTGAGATTCATGAGCGCAAAAATGAGTGATAATACTGTACTTCAAAAACTAGCGGAACAGTTCCCAGGTGCGACTATAGGGAGATGCGCACGGTCCGCAACCTGAACACGCCCGGGTTCGCCGTCGGGAGCTTGACCTTGCAATTTATCGTGTTGGAGCGCACGTGCGTTGACGGATCCGAAATTCTGCCTGGTCGATCTTGATCGGGTACTTGTGCATGTTCATGTACGGCAGCCCGGAGTAGGAGGGGACCGTGACATTGACTACCTTCTCGATTAAGTCATACCTCATCCCCGCTAACGTGGGCAAGTGCATGGCGTTGACCGCGAACTGGTTGTCAGGAGCGCACGAGATCAAGGTGATGTTCGAGTACTGAGATGCGTACATGGGGCTGTGCGGACCCGAGATCTTGTACAAGTCCTTGTGGTTGTCGGCGAGCAAGGGCATGAAGAAGCTCTCGTCCACCTGCCTGATCCCGGCCGCGTCGTCGAGCCACCCGGCGATCGGCTTCGTGACGCCGTAGACGAGCGTGAGCTCGTCACTGTACCTGCACAGCTTTGACTTCGGGTTCACGACCTTATTCATGAGCGGCTCCACGTCCTTGCCGATGAGCGTGACACTGTACCCTTCGTTGGTCAGGACGTCGATCGCTTTCTCGTCGTAGAAAATGCCCATATTCTTGCTGCAGACGGTGTACGCTAGCGCATTGCTGCGAGGGTGTAGATATAGCTAGAGCGACACTGAAAGGTCGTTGGTTAGTGCTATGATAAGGCTCTTGGTGACAGGCTATGCTCAGATGAACTGCGAGCTTCTAACATGTCACCATGTTCAATCAGATACTTCGAGCGATCGCGAACGATACGATTGATGCTGTAGATTCGGAAGAGCCTTCAACAAACGGGACTTTCGCCCTGCCTGGCTGACGAATTGACCACCTCTACAGCCGCCGTTCACAGCTAATTCCGTACAGCCCAGGCCACGTTATGCCCGATTGACCGAAAACCCTGGGCATTGAAAATCCTGATGTCTCGAACATATGCAGTGAGGCAAGCATTACTGATTAAGTTTGCACGCCAGAACGTCCTTCTCCCAAAGAAGGCCTCCAGTCTTTCTGCAGCGGCTGTAGTCACAGCATTTTTACCACGTGATTACGGCAAGCACACGAAGGATTTTGGGGCACTCAAGGAGTGGATTATATTGATGCACTATTTCTGGACTGATGACATGCGAAGACACAACCAGCATCTTTAATCTCTCAGGATAACAAAAGACAGCTGGGTGTAATATCAAGGCTGCTGAACAATGCGATATGGACGGATGTTCGAAGTCGACTATAGTGCTCAATTTGCGTTAGCATTCCACTTCTTACGTTTAACTACCGATTTCCACACTATAATCATGCCTATGTTCTCCATGCGCTCAATATACTATATGTGTGGTATCAAACACGACGGTACTCTCCCTGGAAGTTGTAATGGTTGCCAAACGATGTTGAGACACCCCGTTCGTGCCGCGCTGAGCGTCTCGCATAGTCTTCAACACTTTCTACAGCGGTCGTTTTCTAGTTGACACTATCAAGCCGCTAGCTGCAAAAGGCGTCGTTTAGTACGAGCAACTGCTCAGTTCACTTATTCCCTGAGTAAAGGATTGATGCCGAGTAGAATTTCCACTCCCATAGCACTATGTTGGAGAGTTTGAGGAAGTAGGGATGCCCCATTCAGCTTTCAGTGCGTTGATGATCCATGTTGTTGGCCAGACGTGATGTTTTTCGAAATTGCTCAGGATCTGTACCACTTGGTCCCTCTCTCCAGAATTGCATACGAGCGGTCCCCAGATGAAGATGGTATGGCAGACGGTAATCGCCAATGGCACAGTCTCCGGTGAGCTGTTGCTCGCCCCGCAAATGGCGCGTGCGTGCGATAGGATTTGATGCTATTGTGATAAGTACCTAGCGGTGCTTTCCAATGGCTTGAATCCTTACATCTGTATCAGAAAGGTTCTCGACATTGCGAATCGCAAACTTCGGGCCTGGTTTATAACGTAGCAGCATAATATGCGCAAAGTGGTAAAACCCAAACGATACAGCTGATAGGTCTATAAGCATCTAAGGGAAGAGGTAAGGATACGGGACTTACTATGCCAGTCGGCCGTAAACAGAATCCTGGGGAAGGAGCCTTGGCCGCTAGCTAAACCTTCGAAAACCGCATTAAAGGTGTCCGGTCTTTCATGCATCCACGTCTGAACAAGGTCCCACAGCTCCTGCCAGCGTCGCATCTTGTGAGCTTTCTCGTTTTGGGGTTCCCTACCATCGAAGCAGAAGTTCACGACGCATGCAAGATTCCATGTCATTTGATTGGCCCAAGCTGTCTCTAACCTTAATCGAGCCAATGGGTGCGCATCTCGCATCTCGCCCGGGGTCGGGTGCAGTTGCAACGAGAAGTCGATATCAGGCGGCTGCTGGTTGATAGTAGCATTGTAGAGGCACTGGCGTACGTAGACCCAGAAGACGGCTTCGCGGAAGGTGGGTGCTGATGGATCTACATAGCGGTTTCCCCGAGAGGATCGAATGATGGCCGAGTAGCCTGTGAGATGCTGTTCATCATCTGAACCAGTGCTGGACAAGGCTAGGGGCAATATCAGGTAGTAGTCGCACAACGAACACATCGGTACTTACTGTTCAGTTGCTCATAGAAGCGCAGTACGACAACGGCGCACAGAAGAGTCTCGTCGTGGCTAACAGCGTCTTCGCTTAGTTGCTCGATGAGCAAGGCAACACAGCGCTGATAAGCTGCATCCGCTGTCGCCTCCTTTCTACAGTGGTGAGCAGCAAAGGAAATGACGGCGTAGCAAAGCACTGGGCATTTTTTGATTCTTTCCGGTACCACCAGTGTGAATTGACGAGTGGCGTCAGTGCAATCAAGCCAGCGACCAAGATGTTCTGTGTAGTGGTGCACCAGCAAGGCCTCTTCGTGCGTCAGAGGAACAGACTGTGACGAGTAATTTCTCGTACCCTTTGAAACATCCCTACAGTTATGCGAGTGCGAACTCGTCTGTTGCAAGGCCTGGCGAGTATGCACCGGCACGGAGCTCTCTGGCATGTCTTCCGGGTTGTGCGACTGCAGCAAACTCGCTACCGACACGCTACCCGCTGTGCTCTTGGATTGGGGAACAAAGTATGGTGAGCCTGGCGACAACTAGATCGACGGCGAGGAGACGCTGGTAGACTGGTCTTCCGATGCCCCATCGGTCCGACAGTTTTTCCGACTTTTCGGTGCAGTGTTCCGGCTGAAGCCTTTCTCGCTGGAACTGTTCGCACGAACCGCCTCATCCCTTTTATCGATGCCAGCGACACCATCAATACCGTCAACATCCATCATGTCCTCCTTGGTGTCGGTTTCGTTGTCGGTGCCGCCGGCAGCGGATCTACTTGACGTGGGTCCGTCAGGCCGGTAATCTTTGAACTTAGTATATGGCTCTTTCCACTGGCAAGGGCGGTTCTTCTTGCCGCAGGCTTTGCACAGTGGACGGGTCTCGTCGCCTGCCCACAGAATCAGTATCGAAGGAATGAGTAAAACTCTGAACAACAGGCATACATTTGACGCGGCGCGCTCGACATGTAAGGCTTGCACATATTAGTGAACTTCGTCGCCACAACCTTATAGGGTCCACTTACCAGCCGTTCCTGGAGCGGAATTTACTGTACAAGGTTAGCAAAATGTTTTGCGTGTAACCCGGGTACCGGAATTTACCCCATATGTAGCAATTCGAATCAAATGTTCGAATCGAAGTGTGCCTGTCGCGCTATCGATGCCTGGATGGTGGCCTTCTCACGCTCTTGAATTGCACCTCTTGTGCTTGTCAAGTTCGTAAATGTTTCGCCACTACCTTGTGGCGATGGCAGGACTGGTCAATTTGACACGGAATCGTCGCCTCGAAGATGATGAACAGTTTGCATTCGCCAGTCAGATCGAGTTTCGCAGCACTCTCGGTACAAAAGGCCGAGATGAAGGTCCTTCCGGGAATACTCTTGACCAAGAAGATACCCTGACGTATCGTCTCACATGCTATGGTGTCAGGTTTCGTGTGAAGCTAAAGTGACGGCGCGTGTCGTGCCGGTTGCTCAGTCTGACTGATAGCCCTGGGTACGCTGACAGCCACATGCTGACCGACGCGTTTGTTGAGCTACCCCCACCAACATGTACATGGAGTTAAATATGAAGCTGTAGAGCCACTGCAAATCGTGATAATATTGCGATAACTTGGTGTTGTACTATATACATGCTCGCGAAACGTTTGTACTATTCAGAATATTTTTTTTTGGTGTTGTTATTAATCGTGTTCGTGTTGTTTTGGGTGGAGCTGGCGGTGCAGCTTGCGCCTCAACAGCACCCCAATGCGGCCAACGTGTCCAGTGGTTTCGGCGCAGGGCGAACCAGGCAAACAATCTTTTAAAAACATAACATAGTGGAATATGCAAATTATGGAGAGAGTATATCGCTTCGTGTGAAGCACCCCTCCTCACTGAACAGCATGGCCAACCCAGGAACATGTGGAAATCTAAGTGCTACGCTGAGAATGCCATGTACTCGACGGCGGAATGGTTTTAGCTAGAAAAGCTCGTCTCGATTCCTGCCATTCTTGGCGAAGCATTATAGCTAGGACTTCAAGTAATGACAAAAGATCGCAGAAAGACTTTCGTCTTCGCCACACACGTGTGATATGTAACCATAATAAGTACTACTAGTGAATATCATTTGCCACCGCTAGCATGAGGTGGCCGACCCGCACTGGCCACAGGGTTGCCCTGGAGGCGTTGGATTTTTGTATGTAGCTTTTACAGCAAGGAGAGGGATGAAGAACGCTAGGGTGCGTGGGGTCGCCAACGTTAGCCTCTTCCGAGTCCGTTTGAGCTCGGCAGGGCTACCAGTTTAGGGTTCACCGAGCCCAGAACTAGAGCGTGATCCACTACGGGACCCGCGAACGGGATCTAATGGTAACCAGGCACGACCCATAATTATTGTCCAATGCATCCCGAAATAGAAAAGCAACCTATAGTCTAAACCGAGCATGTAGCTTCGTAGATGTCCATGCTGAAGAAGCAGCTACCATATTTGGATCGAATTCGACTATGTAAGAAGAAGTTCGACTAGTTCGATACTACTGCTGCAATGTGTCCAGGGTCTATATGGCCCGCTGAAGGACAGACTTTATACGCGAATAGAGCTGGCAATCCTCTCTCAGCCACGACTTAATGAGATCTCCATGTCACAAGGGTCGGTAAACTGTTCCTAGGCTCCACAGCGGGAACCAATACGTAGACCACTATTAACTATACACAGCCCTTGCTAGACAAACTTTGTCTGCGGCGACGAGAGGAAAGTGACAACACAAGTCTTGGGCTTTTACTCGAACGAGCTTCCAATCGACAGACTTTCATAATCAAGATCTTCCTCCGCTATACGCTTCGCTGCCCTCTCCTCTTGCTCGACATACCTTGCTTCGTCGTTTGAATTAATCTCCTCAGGAGGCGTTTCCGATCTCTTCCTTTTCTTGATTCCAGGACCGACCGAATGCTCACCAAGTGATTCTGATCGGTTCACCATCGTCTCCGCTGCACCAAGATATTCACAGAGCTGCCGAGTAGAGATGCCCACTTTAAGGTCTTCATCTCCGATCTCGTTGAGTGCAAGTTCTTCATACGCGAAGTCTTTGAGCCGGAGTTGAAGGCCTTCATAATCGGTAGGATTTCCGTCGTCGTCGCGGAAGGCCTGTAGAGAATGTTAGCGCGAAGAACACAATATAGCATTTGAGGAAAAGGTGTACTTCATCCGCAACTTCTTGCACAACCCTTAGTTCGTCTCCGTTAGCCGTACTGACCACCTGGGTTCGCCACACCGACATAGTCGCCTTCCGGGAGCCCTTCTTTCCGTATTCAATATCCAGGCCAACAACGACTTGCACACTAGCATTAGAGTCTAGAAGATAATCTTCAGCCAGCCGGCTCAGCCTCTTTTTCTTCTGCGAATATGCGACCTCAATGATAACCCCAGGGTATCGTGCATCTGTATGCCAAAAAGACGCGTCTGGCTCGTGTTTCGACTTCTTGGTAAGAGAAGCGCCATCCACTGGAAAATAGATCTCCGTCGACCGTGCCGGGCGAACTTTCTGCGCAAAGAGGGCTGCCTTGTCTGATCCCTTGCGTATCGCTTTCAATTGGCTTCGAATTGCGTCTTCGACTCCGTCGATGAACAGCTCATGTACTCCGGTCGGCATACGAACGACGAGGCAATGCAGTTCTGCGTTGTAATCATACCTGCCAGACTCTAGCTGTTAGCCGCAATGCGCGCCGTGTGTCGAGCACACCCACCGTATCTTGTCTTTGACGTATCCTAATAGCGCCTCGTCTTGCTTAAGCCGACGCTCTATCTCATCGTAGTCTCCCTCCGCAAGCTGAAACTCCCTCCACGGGCTTTGTCCAGCGTAATTGCCGTCTCGAATTGCTTCGAAGAGCGTGAGAACTCGGCGGACTCGCGCGAATTGTTTTTCGTCGGTCTGCGGCGGCGTCAAAGGGTGCTTCGCGAAGCTCGAAGGCGGTGTAGTGTTATGATTCTGTATCATGGAAGCGTGCAATGTAGACATAGTCGTACGTTGCACTGCATCGCGAGGTTGCACGATGGCTGTCGCGAAGACTGGTCGCAGTGTGAAGCTCGCGGCGCCTTGGCACTTCAGACGCTCTGGGTTGACTCAGCAACAGTCCCACGAGGCCACCCCACGCCAGGGCGTCACTGTGGCTAGTGATGAGCCCCATGGCGCAACAACACCGGATCCAAGAGACTAGCTGTTCCCGCGTCTAGGGTAAAGCCCAATCTAGCTTTCGACGACTCGTGTTGTTGTTCTAGGTACGAGGTTGCTTGGTCCTGGTTCATGCCAGTTGTTTTCGTGCGGACGTGCGCCAAGCATCCTTAAACGGCTAACTGCCAAGAACGGTCAATCGAATCACTCTTGCCGGATCGCCCGGCTACGGCACCGCCGCATCGCGAGACCAAGTTTCCTTCTTTATCTATACTACACACAAAATTCTAATGTCCCTAGCACAACCCTGTGGCCGGTGCGGGTCGGCTTCCCTCCATGCAAATGGCGGCAGTACTTGGTGCCGAATCGTGCTTACGCACAGTTCCACCTATGCTACGCTTGCATAGGCTCAGTAGTCTACATGTGAAGCAGTGTCAACGTCCTAGCTTCCAATTCTCCAATTGCCACTTGGTCGAAGCATGGAGTCGGATCCCTGGGGCCTCGCTAAAGGTCGTGCAGCAGCCACAGCCACTAGCGCTGGCGAAATCTGACCCCTGAACTGCAGCGGCGCAAACTGCCAGGATCCGCATGGAGACGTACATACACAGCCGTTGATATTGTTCGAATTTGCCTGTTGAATGACTAGGCATCATCATGCAAGATCAAAAGGGACACGAGAGGTCGTGATACATGTCAGAATTTGCTATCCAAGGCCTATATGGGTAACTCTCAGTACTAGACACACGTGCCGTGATGCACCCTCCCTTCACGAGCACCAGAGCCCACCTGGATCGTATGTTGATCACATCTTGGGCTGTGCCGCCAGCTTGGCTAGCAGATCATCAACTTGTTTCTGCAAGTCGGCCTTCTCTGCCTCCAGCTGCGTCGTCTTCTTTGGCTTCTCTTTGGGTACGTGTACGTTCTCTCCGATCAAGTCGCCGTTGTGGTCACGTTTCATGCCCTTCTTCTCGAGCATTTTCACGACTTCGGGTACCAGTTTTTCGAATTCCTTGACATATGTGATGCCATCGTGCTCACATGCGAGGTGGACGTTTCCTGATTTCCAGTATTCGTCTCCGCAGCAAACGACAACCTTATCGGATGCAGCCCAGCGACCTAGCTCGAGCAAAGACACCGGGCTCTTGGTCTCGGTGTCGAAGAAGAAACATATGACGTCTGCTTGCTCTAGTGCATCTCGCTCCCAGTCGACTTGTTGTTTGAAGAATTCGTCTTTGGCCTGTTGTGTAATGTTTTTATCCCATTCGCCTTTCCGGGGGTTGCATACAGTGATCGGCAAGTGATGAAGGAGGGTTGCCATCAGCGGCTGCCAGTTGACTGCGCCGCCCATCTCTATGCTGCCAGCGGTAAAGACGGTGAACTTGCGGTATATAGGTAGCTCTGGGGGAGTACATTCTATGAAATCTTTGTGCGGTGTTGGTTCTGGTGATGGCCAGGGTGGAAGTTGGTGTTTCTTGTCTTCGACCGTTTCTGTGACACTCGTTCGGCCGGAGTCGGAACTAGACGGAAGCATATCAAAAACTGTCCTTAGGCCCCTGTTGTGTGTTCGTGGTCGTGTGAAGAGATTGCGTGATGGAGTTGTGCAGAGCTGGAGACTATATCGCTGTGACTGCGAACGAGCGGTCGCTTATGAAGGGCAGCAGTGCCTGGCGCCTCAGGTTCAAGGCTGACGGCAAGGCGGAAGCTGAAGGGATAGCGGTTTCGACGCTAACCCGATATCTGTGAGCAGGCATCCAAGCCTCATTACAGTACGACGATACATAATGCCGTGGCTGTGCGTTTGTCTGATTCGTACGCAACGTCCGAAAGCTATGTACCCTAGCAAGAGCGATGAATAGACTAGGTTCGCCGTCCCGAGAGGTGTCTTTTCCGATAGAGCAAGGGGGGCTACAACGTCGGAGGTTAGCATATCACTACTGTATTGCGGCGCCTGCAGCTCAAGAGTCTTCTCTGCAACCTATTGATTCAGCACTTGGCCCACGGATTGGAAACTGTCTACGTCGAAGACGAGCATGACGCTACTGTAATCGTTGTAGAGGCGATGTCCACGATGCCGTGGCGATTGCGACAAGCAGGAGGACGAGTGATGAATCGCTCATGCATTACGACCAGGCGGGGGAATACCGCAGCGCGCGATTTCTCGAATGTCCTTTGAAGCTGACCACTCCGTGTATTGTAAGCAATGCTCGACCCGAGGCTGACAGTGCATCTCACAACGCGATGCCACTGTTTGGACCCAGCTACGCAGGGGTGCGTTGCCTGAATAGGATGCTGCAGGTGGGATGGTGCCTTCCTCGCATGTATGTGTTTCGAAGACTGGTCTGCATGAGCCGCAGCGGCATATGGTCTGTACCTGTGTATTTCGGTGCTGATAGCGAGACTAGCGCCCACGAACAATCTGAGACACTCGTGCTGGTCCACTTGGACGAGTGGTCTGCTGATAGTGCCCCAAGCCACTCGGGAAAGTTATGCGCATGACTTGGCAGGGTTGACGAGCTGCTGACCAACGACTCAGCTGTCCACGAGTGGTTTGACGCCTATCCATGGTTGTGTAGGAGGCTCTGCCTATGTGTGCACACTGCCAGCAATGTGCAGTACAGTACAGTACTGTCGGTGCTCACAGCAGTAGGGGTTCGCTCGCTGGGAGTGGGTAGGACGTGCATCGGCTCAGCACCCACCAGCCGGATGTGGTGGAGCATTTCTTCCGAGTGTACTGTACTGTTGCTTGATGTACAGTATGAGCAAGCGACAAGACCGTCTCATGCCCTGGCTGCCAAACTTACTAAAGGAGGCTCTGGTCTTGGTCGCGGGCTGCCTTCTCTCCTAGCTTACGACCCTCGTGTTTCGGTGTTTGTAGTCAAATTGAGCAGTCGATATGACACGGTCGCTGACGACAGAAGGCAGCAAGTATGGTTTCTACTCGCCTGCCATGAGATCAACGTTGTCTAACCAAGGGGACAGCGAGTCTTTGAACAAGTACGGCGGACTGCGGCGTGTACGAGAGGATGTGCCTTGGCGGCTGTGGATCGTGGCAGGTATAGGATTCTGGGAAAGAGCTGCTTTCTGGGGTCTGACTGCACCATGGCGTATGTTGCTTCTGGAGGCTTTCAGCAACATGAGTACCGCTGACCAGATGGTGCGCAGAGAACTACATGGAACATCCGCTGCACCGTGATGCAGGACAGCCAGCCGGGGCTCTGGGCCTCGGTCAGGCAATGGCAACGCGGGTCTACTGCGCCTTTTACATATTCTATTATGCTGCGCCGATCCTCGTCGCCATTATCGCGGATAGCTACCTGGGGCGCTACGTCACGCTAGTTGCCAGCGTGGTGCTGTACTGCCTCGGATGCGCCATCTTGACCGTGAGCTCCGTGACTAGCATCATCGAGAGGGGATGGGGTGTTCCGGGCCTTGCAATCGCCATGTTTCTCATCGGTCTCGGAGGGGGAGGTTTCCGAGCGATTGCGGTCCCGTTCATTGCCGACCAGCAAACTGAGACAGAGCCCAGGGTCATGACGCTCAAGACGGGAGAAGTAGTCGTCACAGACTACCAGATCACTCTGCAATACATCTACAATCTGTACTACTGGTGAGTCTTGGAGAAAACGAGGGGGGCAGAGGGCGGGGGGCTCCAAGCGAGGCTATCGCATGGCTTACGATCCATCAGGGTTGGCAACGTCGGCTCGCTGTCATGGTTCGCGACCGTCTACATAGAGACGCACGTCAGTTTCACGGCTGCCTACGGGCTGACGCTGGGGTTCATGGTGATCGCGCTCGTCATGCTCGTTGGCGGCAGGCAATACTACAGTGCGGTTTTTCTACGTACCTATATCCTGATATCGCTCGCTGACGTGCTACAGCCAGGGTTCCTCGCGAGCAGAATGCTCTTCCCGAAGCGTTCAAGATCGTCGTCTGCGCCTGTCGAAGTGGCTTCAAGATGGGACGCGCAGATCCCTCCTACCAACTCGAACGCCGTCACAGGACGGTACCTTGGAGTACGCAGCTTGTCGACGAGCTTACCCGGGGTCTTCAGGCTTGCCGGATTCTGTAAGAAACCATCGATACGTGCGGGCCTCGAACTCTTCGCTGACCCATCGCTCAGTCTCGCATTCATCATGTTCTACATATGCTTCGACCAGATGCAGAACAACTTGATCTCCCAAGCCGGCCAGATGCAGACCAACGGCACGCCGAACGACCTCCTGCCTGCGATGAACCAGGTTGGCTGCATAGTGCTTGGGCCTCTCATCCAAGAAGTCCTATATCCATTTCTCCATCGCCGTCGCATCTATCCAACAGCGGTGAGCCGCATCGCCATCGGGTTCGCCTTCGTCACGTTGTCGATGCTGTACGCCACTTTGGTACAGCTATTCATCTACCGGTCTCCGCCTTGCTACGATCAGCCGGGAAGCTGCGGCCGCAACGAGATCAACGTCTGGATCCAGGCGCCTCTATACTTGCTGATCTCTGCTGGTGAGATCTTTGCCTACGTGACCGCGCTGGAGTATGCCTATGACCACTCGCCCAAGGCCATGAAGGTTGTTGTGCAAGCAATCGGCCTGCTCGTTGGTAGCGTGGGATCTGCGTGTGCGATGGCGTTAACGCCGGTTGCACGAAACCCGTACCTCGTGACATTCTACGCCTCGCTCACGGGGAGCATGGCTGTTACAACCGTCATTTTCTGGGCTCTGTTCCGCAGGCACGACAGCTCGCCAGTGTGTGTCGAGGGTACGGCAGGTCCGCCCGCTGCCGTATTGGGTGTAAGGGTGCGATGGGTTGACCATAAGTGCAAGGTATAACAGTAATGAATTCGATAGAGAAGCTACACTACGCTTGTGCTGGGTCTATGTATCACGTAGTGCTAGGTTCGAGAAACTTCTAAGGGTCCGTGGAGCGCCGATGAAGCCCCGACAACGCTCCGAGGGTTGCAGCCTATCCCAACCAGCTATAACGAAGGCCACAGGCCAAGTACTACTAACCAAGGCTTCAGCCCCTTACAACTGTGAGCGAGCAAATGTCTCTGCTGTGCTCCTTAAACTGCCACTTCTTGTGGTCTAATCTCTTGTTAATGAAAAAGCATACCCGGGCGGGTCCTGCCTCGTTTCCTGCTGGGCAGCAAAGGTGGAAGACGCGTTTCGCTGGATGGTGTGTCGTCGCCGCGAAGGGGTTTCTCCATGGCTCCTGGATGGCCAGGATGTCGTACTCATGGATCCTAGGGTCCCGCAGCATGCTCGCCATCACCATGTTTCTTGATTTGTGCACGTTGTACTGTAGTATGCTTAGTGTGTTGTGCTTATTCATGTATCATCGTCGGAGTCGATCTCCATGTGGTGACTGCTGTTGTTCTGTATCGCCCGGGTGTTGAGTCCAGTCGATTCCAGAGCTCTCCTGCTAGGTATGATCTGTCGATGCGGTCTTTGGCTCGCGCTGCCCTGTGTTGATGAGATCTCCTGACCCATCGAGTCGACATTGGTTCCTGCATTGGTTCTCTTCTGTCCTCTTCCTGTTTGCGATCGGTTCCTGGTAAGCTGCATCGGCTGCGTAGCTGCCACTGGTTGACTAGTCCTTCTCCTTTGAATCGTAGACGTCGGGATATCAATCTGCACGTTTTGTCCGGCTGTTTGCGAAACGTGGTGGTAGCGCGGTCGCATCTCGTACGCGGTCCTTGCCTTGGCTATCTCGTCCTTCCTGGTCGGGCACTGGCGGCTCCACGCTTCGTGCTCGCCGCGGCAGGCGGCACATTTCCTAGTCACGGCTTGTCCGGCCCTCGATGGGCAGTCTCGGGTGTCGTGCTCCTGCGCACACTGGCCACATGCTGTTGCTGCCTTGCACTGGGTTCCTATGTGGCCGTATCTTTGGCACTTGAAGCACTGCTTCACTCGGCACTGTCGCTCGTATCGCTCGCACTGGAAAACCTCACCTTGCCAGATCAGACCCTCGTCGATGATCTTGTTGGCGTCCTCTGGTTTGGTGAACTCGATGGTGATAGTTGTTGCCGTCTTGGTGGTAGCATCTCTAGTAAGCCAGCCTATGTGTCTTATCTCCGCCTGGGGTATGAACGGTCGGTTGTCCTGCAGTATCTGCGCTCTGATCTCGTCGAGCTTGCTCATGTCCATCGTGCTTGTGCGTATGCCGTGTGCGAGGACGCCGAACGTCGGGATCTGCACTGTAGTCCCACTGCCTATGCGGTGGGCCCAGTCGTCCGCGAACTGTCGTAGCGCCTCGACTTCCCTGCTGCTTGCTGTCTTGATGCTCAGGTCTCCGCTCTTCAGCTGGTTAGATGAGACGATCTTCACGTTAACTATGTTTTCATTGCCACTTTGCTCGATGGCACGCTGGACATGCATTTTAAGGTTGCTAGGATTCATAGTCCTTAGGCTCTGTACGGTGAGGGGGTCTCTAATATTCATGATGACCTCACGCTGCGTCTGCGCAGATGGCTGTTTGACACTTTGTGCATTGTATGTACCTGCTAACGGGACTCCCCTAGCTGCCGCCGCAGCGTAGCTCATTGGTCCGTTCGCCTGCTCTTGTGGTCTCTTGTTCCTGATCTCTCGCGCGATCTCTAGCGTCGCTTTACCCACCTCTGTGGCGTCCTTGGCTGCCGCTCTCGCCTCTTCTGCTATGTTGCCATTTTATTGTATCTTTGTTGCGGACTGTTGTACGAGTTCTACGGTGGACTTAAGTTCTTGCTTGATCTGGTCGAGGGTTTGCGCCGTGCTTTCTGCTGTCGCTCTTGCCTCGGTCCGCGCGACGTTGAGCGCGTCGCTGAGGCCGCGGAGGTCAGGGGAGTGCTGCGTCTTCAGTACGAACGTCAATGCGCCGCGGATGATGTCGCCAACGATGTCTGCCGGCATAGGCTGCTGGCCTCCGTTGCGCTCGATCAAGGATAGCACCTCGCGAAGGAAAGCGCTGAGGTTGGTAGCATGCTCGTCTATTGGGATCGGCCAGGTCGACCTTCGGGGCCACGGTGTCGCCATGGCGCCTCAGCAGCAGTGGGCGCTACTTCTGAGTGCTGGCTAGTCGAAAGCCGTCTCTAGCGGACGTTTTGCGCGCGTTGTGCTACGTTAATTCCAAAAAGTGAAATTCTCGCTGTTGTCGTGTTTTCTTCTCTTCTCTATCGAATACAACTCTAGTAAACCTGTGCGATAGCTCCTCGAGCGTAGCCTCTTACATAAAGGGTATTTTAGCCTAACATGTATACAGCCCCGCAGTTTCGCCGATGGAAAAGCGTTCCAGCGTGTTGGAACCAGCTAGTGTCTCTTGGCATGCAGGCCGCCTGCAGTAGCGTGCTCAGATATCTGTGTACCGTGTCGTAACGGATTCGACGCTATGCCTGTAGCAGATTACTTGCTAAAAATGGCTGTGGCGCACACCGGCAGCCTTCTAGAAGCGTCTACAACCATGTGTCCGATCTATGCATACCGTACGTGATGATCATGGGATCGATCCGCCAGCAGAGAATCGGTCCTAGACTCTGAGTTGTAACATTCACTTTCTAAACAGTGCTCGAAACTTCTATGGCGCAGTATATAGCCTATATATTTGTCCCCCTCTATGGAATAGAGATGATAACGAAGTAGAGCAAGAGAGGAATAATTTCTTGCAACGACGAGTGCTAAAGATATCAAAGGTTGATACTGCAAAGCCATACCCTTCCAGATCCAACACCTATACCCACGAGTGCCCTGCTCACAGACGAACAAGAAGGTCGATACTCTGATGGTATCCAAAGCATGTTCTCCCCAGCATGTTTAACCCATATGCTGTCGGCACTGAGACTCGTGGCTACGTACATAGAACGCTCAGATTTCACTATATCTCTTGTGCTGGAACCTTCTATGCCTTGGAGGGCGATAGTGCCTATTGTAGTGTAAAGGTAAGACCTAGTAGAATCGAAGGATATGTTCTCGGGAGTCGTGCCGACATGGACAGTCTGCAGGCACGCGCCGTTGCTCACATCCCAGACTTTGATAGTGTTGTCATGAGACGCAGATGTCAGCCGGGTCGAGTCGTGGGAGAAGGCTACTGAGTCAACATAGTCGTTATGGCCCTCAAGCGTCTGCAGGCACGCGCCGCTGTTCGTATCCCAGGTCTTGATAGTTCTATCGAATGACGCGGACGCCAACTGCACCGAGTCGTGCGAGAAGGCTACCGATAAGACCCCACTGCTATGCCCCTCAAGCGTCTGCAGGCACGCGCCGCTGTTCGTATCCCAGGTCTTGATAGTTCTATCGAATGACGCGGACGCCAACTGCACCGAGTCGTGCGAGAAGGCTACCGATAAGACCCCACTGCTATGCCCCTCAAGCGTCTGCAGGCACACGCCGCTGCTCGCATCCCAGACTTTAATAGTTCTGTCCTGTGACGCGGACGCCAGCCGGGACAAGTCGTATGAGAAAGTCACGGAACAGACCAAATCGTTATGGCCTTCAAGCATCTGCAGACACGTGCAGCTGCTCGCATCCCAAATCTTGACTGTCTCATCCTGCGACGCGGACGCCAGCCGGGTGGAGTCGTGAGAGAAGCTAACGAATTCGACCCTGTTGCTATGGCCTTCGAGTGATTGCAGGCACACTCCGCTGCTCACATCCCAGATCTTGACGGTGCTGTCATGTGATGCCGATGCCAGCTGCGCCGAGTCGTGCGAGAAGGCCACGGAATTAACTGGGCTGATATGGCCCTCGAGCGACTGCAGGCACCTACCGCTGTTCGCATCCCAGATTTTGACGGTGTAGTCGTGCGAAGCCGACGCCAGCTGGGTTGAGTTGTGTGAGAAGGCCACGAAATCGACTGGTCCGCTATGGCCCTCGAATATCTGCAAGCACGCGCCGCTGCTCGCGTCCCAGATCCTGATGGTCTTGTCCTGTGACGCCGACGCCAGCCTGGTGGAGTCGTGCGAGAAAGCCACGGAGTTCACCCAATGGCTATGTCCCTCGAACGCTTGCAGGCACGCCCCGTTGCTCACATCCCAGACCTTGATGGTGTTGTCATGAGACGCAGATGCCAGCCGGGTCGAGTCGTGCGAGAAGGCTACTGAATCAACATAGCCGTTATGGCCCTCGAGCGTCTGCAGGCACGCGCCGCTGCTCGCATCCCAAATCTTGACGGTCCTGTCGTACGATGCGGACGCCAGCTGCGTCGAGCCGGGCAAGAAGGCTACCGAGGTAACCCAATGGCTATGGCCCTCGAGTGTCCGAAGGCACGCTCCACTGCTCGCATCCCAGATCTTGATGGTCTTGTCATAGGACGCAGATGCCAGCTGGGTCGAGTCGTGCGAGAAGACTACGGAATAGACCCAATGGCTATGACCCTCGAGGGTTTGCAGGCACGCGCTCCAGCCGTCGCTCATAGCCGGTCGAATACTGATTCCTTCTGGCTCTTCATGCTGAAACAGCCGTCTCATCAAACTACCTTTCGGACTGAACAACAGCGCAGATGTATATATTTGAAGAGGGTAACTTTCGATTACCGCTTTGTGATACATGGAGAATCGCTGTGCATCTTCAACAAGCTGAGCAAACTCACCTTTGTCGCGCATCTCCTAATTGCGTTAGTTTCTAGATAGTGTACACTATACCAATGTACTTTCTGCAGGCCATACCTGCACGTGCGACCACAGTTTCGCCATAGAGAGGACGGCTTTTTCCACACTCCTACAAAGACTAATTGCTTCCAGCCAATAGAGATACTTCTTCCTTAAGAACTGATCGACTAAGCTTCTGACTTGCAGATCACGATCGTTGTTTGCAGAGAACTTAGACTTAGAGTCGTGTAGATGATCAATCCAATAGACGCATGGGTAGCGTGACGCTGCTAGTGGGTCGGGATCAGGCCGTGTGACGTTCTCGATAGGATGTCCTAGCGCTTTGAGACCATACATGTCCCTGTGCAACGTCCGGGACAGAATTGTCAACGACTTCAAAAAGATTACCTGATGCACTTCTTCAGCACCATTTGGGAAGACCTCTCTAGACGCCCTTGCGAAGAGGAAGTCCTTGGCAGACTGATGTACAAAGTACTATCCCTCCATGTGTGGCGGAAAACCCTGCGTGGCGGCATGCCGGCAGTGCTCCCCACCACAATAAAGTCAGCCGTAGCGGAGAGGCATAGAGAATCTCGGGATAGAGGCCTTGGGTTCGAAGCTTTCTCTGCACTTCATCTTGTCGCCCACAAATTCCTGCTTGGCTAGCAATACCACGATGCGCTGCTGCTATGTATAACAGCCCTGCCTCGGACAGCCTCGGACGTGCTAAAGATTTAACGCATATATCTAAGAGTCTGTTAAGCTATACAAGGATGTATAAAGAGTGTATCCCGAGCGAAGTACTGCGGTATCCCAGGTCGTGGCGCTGTTGTGCAAGTCTATTGCTCTACGAAGCAGGATCAACAATTTTAGCGCGCTACCTGCAGGTTGTACGGAAATGCCGCAAGTAGCTTAGCGGTATTCTATCTGCGCAGATCTCAGACCCTTGTACTGCCAGCGTGTCTTAAAAAGAACTACCCCGCTAGAGGCTAGCGGCTAAGGCTGAGCATGACTCGCTTGTGCTCGAATACATGCACAAACGCCGCACTAAACTCCACGCACGCCTGTTTTGGGAGCGGATAGTAGTAACGTCTATCCATGCGTAGCGGGACACCCTGTGTGCCGGGACGCTTTTCCATCCGGACCTTTGGCGTAAGGCTAGCGCGATCGAACGAAGACGAGCTCGACGCAATCTGTTCTGTACATGTTCTTTAACTTAGGTATGTTAGCCTACAACTAAGCGGAGCATTGTGTTGCACGTAGTGTAGGCTATTCTATTACGATTGTCCATCAACCTCTTCTAAATACCCCCCTGTCTACTTGCAACAATTAATCTCTGTGAATTATTTGGAAGTCTAGCAAAAGAGCCAAGATCCTAGAGATCGTGATTGCAGGCTCTAATAGCGAAGTTTAGACGCAGAGCATGTCTTCTAATAGTTTCTCCGCGCGGACAGCAAGATCGCCAAAACGCGTCTGCACCTACATATAGCTGTTTGGGTTCTCCCTGGACGGCTAGCAAATAGATCGCGGAATCTGTTATAATAGGAGATACATAAGACCACTAATCTTCCTACTAGGTAGACAAGAGGTTGAACGCTCCTGGATATAGCATTTCGGGGCCAACAAGCTGCGCCCTGAATTCTACAACAACGCTAAGTTAGAGGAAGGCGAAGTGCACTAGCTCGTAGTAATCTATAAGTGTCGCAGTTGCTTATAGAGAGAAAGAAATCAACAGCTTAAAGCAGGGGATACAGAAGCAATATTGAAGGGGAGAAGTTTACATGCAACGACGCCACGGCACATGCAATCCTTTCACCTTCTTTGGTGTTTTAAGTTCCTAATGGTAATGTCTGCTAACTCGCGTGACTGTCTTGATCTCTTCCTCGTAGATGTTCTCGCATCGCTATCTAGCGTGCTGGAAGAACAGACAAGCCGATGCTGCTCTTGCGATGTGCACAACGCAGCGTAATGTTGGTCACACGCTATGGTAGTTGGATGGTCTTTTCCTAGTGTGGTGTTATACCCAGCAGATGCCCTCCGATACAGACGTAAAGACTCATCGATACGATGCTGTTTCGCAAGAAGATGAGCAAGGCAGTGTACACTCGTCAGCGTGTCTGGATGCTCATGCCCCAGCACCTTCTCACTCCGCGCCAGCGTCTGTCTGTGCATCGCCTCCGCCTCTTCGTACTTGCCCTGGCAATCTAGCACTAGCGCCAAGTTGTTCATGCTCGTCAGCGTGAATGGGTGCTCATGCCCGAGCACCCTCTCCATCCGCGCCAGCGTCTGTCGGTTCATCGCCTCCGCCTCTTCGTACTTGCCCTGGCTATCTAGCACTAGCGCCAAGTTGTTCATACTCGTCAGCGTGAATGGGTGCTCATACCCCAGCACCTTCTCCATCCGCGCCAGCGTCTGTCTGTGCATCGCTTCCGCCTCTTCGTACTTGCCCTGCCTGTTAAGCACGTTTGCCAAGTTGCCCATGCTCGTCAGCGTGTCGGGATGCTCATGCCCGAGCACCTTCTCTTTCCGCGCCAGCGTCTGTCTGTGCATCGCCTCGGCCTCTTCGTACTTGCCCTGGCTGTTCAGCACTCCCGCCAAGTTGCCCATGCTCGTCAGCGTGGATGGATGCTCATGCCCGAGCACTTTCTCGCATATCGCCAGCGTCTGTCTGTGCATCGCCTCGGCCTCTTCGTATTTGCCCTGCCTGTCCAGCACGTTCGCCAAGTTGTTCATGCTCGTCAGCGTGTCTGGATGCTCATGCCCCAGCACCTTCTCCCTCCGCGCCAGCGTCTGTCTGTGCATCGCCTCCGCCTCTTCGTACTTGCCCTGCCTGTTAAGCACTCCCGCCAAGTTGTTCATGCTCGTCAGCGTAGAGGGATGCTCATGCCCCAGCACCTTCTCCCTCCGCGCCAGCGTCTGTCTGTGCATCGCCTCCGCCTCTTCGTACTTGCCCTGGCTGTTAAGCACTCCCGCCAAGTTGTTCATGCTCGTCAGCGTAGAGGGATGCTCATGCCCCAGCACCTTCTCCCTCCGCGCCAGCGTCTGTCTGTGCATCGCCTCCGCCTCTTCGTACTTGCCCCCAAGCTCTCTAGCTAGCCCTACCATCTCCATGCTATCTAACGTCTCCGCATTGTCTTCCCCAAGCACCTCGCTCCTAACCTCCATCGACATCATCGCCATCTCCTCTGCCTCGCCTGCTCTCCCTCGTTGCCACGCGTACCACGCCGCCTTGTACAGCAACAGCGCCCACTCCTTCAGTGACTCCCTATCCTTCGGCCGCTGTGCCAATGCCGCCTGTGCGTGTGGAAACAGCGCCTGACACTTCTCCCAGTTCTTGTGTTCTCCTGTCGGCAGCTCTGCGCACAGGTTCGAGATAAACTGCGCTCTCCACCTGTCGAGCTGCCCTTCGTTCTCTAGCCACGTCCGCGTCGCTAGCTGCACCAGGCTGTGCATCTCAAACGTGTCTGCATCTCTAGTGACTGTGACAAACGAGTAGTCTCGCACGGCCAGCACGTCGTCCTCGAACCCGTCGTCTGCTGTGCTGCTCTGGCCGCGGAGCAGACCTTCCTGGATCCCCTGCCGGTCGAAGAAGCTCATCAGCGACAGCAGGCCTGCTGCCGACTGTCTTGTGCTCCGTATGTGATCGAACGAGATCTGCCACGTTATCAGGACCGAGTTGCTGGCTGCTGCATCTCGGCGAAGGTGGCCCGCCTCGCGGTTCAGCAGACTTGTCTTTCTGCTGTCGCTCTGCCGGTATTCGTCGAGGTACTGCTGCACCGAGCATCGCGGCGCTCGCTCTCGGATGTAGGCCGCCGCCTGCACGAGAGCAAGCGGCATGTGGTCGAGCGTCGTCGCCAGCTTAGCGATGCTATCGTCTTCCTTGTCTACGTCTCGTAGCTTCTTGCGGAGCAGAGCGTGTGCAGCTGCATCGTGCATCGGCTCGATCGGTATGATGTCGCTGTCCTCTACGACCTGCATCGCCGCGCGCTTTGTCCGGCTCGTCACCAGGACGGAGCCATGCCTGCTTGAGGGGATGTATCTCGATAGATGCTGTTGGAGAGCGCCGCCGTCAGTCGGGGAAAGCACAGCAGCATCGTCCGCGTTGTCCAGCACCAAGAGCCACCGTCCGTTCTGCTCGTTGCGCAGCCAGTCGTGCACCAGCTTGAACACATCCGCTTGCGGGTCCTTCCGCCCGCGAACCTTGACCTGCTCGGCGATCTCGCGGAAGCTCTGCTCGAGTCGCGCCGTGTTGCTGGCGTGCGCCCACAACACCCATGTATCTGGCGACTGCTCAGCGGTGCGGTAGCCGTGCTCGATGGCCAGCTGCGACTTCCTGTGCCTGCGTTAGATGCGAGCGCCGACCTAAGCCCCTTCCGCCGCACTTACCCCACCCCGCCGAGGCCCACCAGCGCGACGCGAGATGCTGGCGCAGCGCATCGTTCGCGGATCTGGTCGAGCAGCGTTCCACGAGTGACAAAGTCGGGGTCGCGGCGGAAGGGCACGAAGCAGGAGGGCTGTGGTGGAGTCTCCGGACGTTCTGCGCAGAAGAGCCCCGTCAGCACAGTGTCGGTCAGAGCGGAAGCGGGCAGGCACTTACCAGGAGCGTGGACGTGGGTCTGGATAGAGCCAGAGTTGTAGCCGACCTGCAACCCTCGGTTTCCTGGACCCGTAAACGTGGTAGTGAGGCTGGGGACAGCCATTGTGCTGTATGTGACAGCGGCTGGGTTTGCGCGTTGTTGTAGGCTTTGCGAAGCGGCACAGCTGCCCCTACGCATGAGGCTGAGCCATGGAGGCTGAGGTTGGCGCATCAGCTGAACCATCATGGCGAACTATCACGGTCATCAGCGTATGACACACTAACACGAGCACTAATTCATATACATCTATCGCGAGATTGTCTTTCGGCAACATGATCGGTTTTATGGTACTTGTTGTCTAATAGTTTTACACCAATACATCAATACATCATCGCCACTGGTGCCCTCCATGGCGCAGGCTCCTGGACTCTGCTCTTTTTCGACGCTTTTTCCCTTGGTCTTGACGGGCCCGCTTCTACCTCCAGAGGCATCGTTTCTTCCTCTACTTCTTGTGCAGGTGTCTTGCGCTTTCGACCGCGCTTTCCTTTGCCCTTCTTCTTGGCGGCCATCTCTCTAGCAGCGCGTTCCGCTCGTGCCCTTTCGAGGTCCTCCCAGCGCATCACCTTGCCCTCTCCCTTTCCGTCGCTTAGCACTAAGGAGCGCGTCGTTCGGCGGACCGTGGCTTCGTTGTTGATGTTGCACAGCAGGCGATTGTGGTCCTGGAGGAGGCTCTGTTTGGCAACAGATATCTTGGCGGCACTCACAAGCTTCTGTACACGCCTCTCCAGGCGTTGTTTGCTCACCTCGTCAGACGCACCAGTATCGCGTTTGATCAGGTCATGTAACACTGTCAAGCCCTCTGCCGTCACCGGTGTCACAGGAGTTACGGGTGTTAGTGGTACATCGCTCTGGGAGGAGGATCCCACCTCGTTAGCGGTCGGGACGACGAGGTCTGCAGGCGGCTTTGGTATGTTACGAAGCACTCTCTCCGGGTTAAAGGGAAACAACCCCGTAGCAGCCCACCCGGCAACGATGTTCCTCTTGGTTAATGCCCTTTCCCTTGCTGGCGCATACAGGTAAGTGAAATGCTCCTTGGCTATTGTGTTTATGCCGCCGCGGTTCAGTCGCTCAACCTGATCGCGGTAGGCTGTCTTCAGGGGCGCAAAGACGGATACATCACAGGGCTGCAGTTTGTGAGAGGTATGGGAGGGCAGACGGCACAGGATGATGTTGCTCTCAAAGCAAAACTCCAGGACCTCCAGCGTCTCGTGGGTCCCGAAGCAGATGAAACCCTGAAGTGAGAGCAAGTGTGATAATATTCTGTCTATGCCTCAGGCTCTGTATATATAGTCAACTGGTGTGCCGTCGCACCATTGTATGAGGAGGTTGTCACACCAGTGTTTGGTTATGCATGTCACGTGATCTGGAATCCAACTGAAGCCGTCACAGATCAGTACTCGTGGTTTACCATTGGCTCGGGCTCTAGTTTCGACATCAAAAACTCGCTTTAGCCATTCGAGACTTATCTTCGAATCGTTGTACCCATTCTCGGAAACTCCGTAGTGCCACCCCGGGGTTGGGTGCGTGGTCCAGTTGCTCCGGTGCGTCAAGGCCGGCCAGATGATTAGAGGTGGTAGCGACCTACCATCAGCACTGATGCACTCTATAGCGGTAACCATGGTCCGCTTGGCGCACGCGCCTCTATGCCCCCGTACGTCATCTTTACCTACAAGAACCTTGACAGAGCCCAGTTTGCTTAGCAGGACACCTGTCTCATCCATGTTGTATACGTTTTCCGGCAGAATAGCCGGATCCTGTAGCACCTTGCCGATGACATCAAACCACTCTGTGATCTTATCATATATGTGTATCTCATGGCGCTTCCAGTCTATCGATCGTACTCTCTTCGACTTGAGCTCGGGATGGCGTTTCCCGAAGGCTTGAGCCCAGTTCTTACCGGGAGGCTTGATCGGTCTACTCGCGGGGGATCGACGTCGGGCGATACTGAAGGCTAACGTTGGTATGTACTTGATGCGGACAGGCTGCCCAAAACTAGACATTAGCAGCAAGAACGCGACAAGAGCTTTCTCCTCTTCCACGGTAAGGTACTGTTGGCCTTCAGCCTTTTTCTGAATCGAGGGCCGTCCTCGCCAACGATTGTATAACGTAGTAATCGCGATGCCGCTGGAATCGGCCCGGGCAGCCCATGTTCTATCGTCGTTTGGGGGAGCCTCTGCAAGTGCCTTGCTGGCAGCATCCATCTCGACGATCGTGGTAGTACCATAGTCACGAACGGACAACCAGCGAGGATGCCCTCTGCACCTCGCTCGAATGCTAAAAATAGCCCTCTGTCCGTAGATGCTTCCAGAAGAGCGCCGCACTTGTACTGCTTTGGAAATAGCTTGGAATACAATACAGCGCGGCTAAGATATTCAGCGTTGCGCGAGCCGCCTCCACAGTTGGAAAGGCTGCATCGCAGCGGAACGGAACGAAGCAAGAGGTTGTGGACGATCAGGTTGTGGTGGATCAGGTCGTGGAGCGCGGTTACGGTAGTTAGAGCAGCGTCGATCAGGGCAGACGCGGGAGGACATGGCTGCCAGCCTGTTCTATCGATAGCGCGCTGCCCCACCCGCGCTCTACCCAGCGAAGGGTGTCCGTCCCTCATGCAGTGGTTGTGAACAGCAAGAGTGTGTTCTTCATCGTTTTCTTATCCACAAGCATAGAGTGTTATTCTTCTGTAGCTTATAAACTCTGCATCACCCGATTACCATCCTGTGCCGCCCATCACCAGCTTTAGCTGCCTCTCCCAAATGTAAACCCTGACATTGTACCCGAGTTGTGGCCCAGCTGAAGGCCCGTATTTCCACTGCCCGAAAAGACGATGTGGTGCGACTTCTCAGCACTCTCCGCAGCCTTCGTGATAGCCTGCTCTAACAACTTGTCCTGGGCAGCGGCAATTTCTCTTAACACGGAGATGTCTTGACCTTCTCCAATAGCAGAGACTTCGATGTCGCAGAGCTCACGCTGGGACTGCTGAGTGGCGGGGAACAGGTTGTCCAAGTCGTTAACCAACTCGGTGATGTCCTCGATCAGTCGTCTAAACTGCTTCTCTTGATACAATGCCCACCTGGCCTTTTGCCGTACGCCAGACCGGTTCTGGCGCTCGATGGCTAGCTGGCGCATTTTCTCGTGGAGCTTCGCCATCGCCGGATCCAGGTCGGTTTGCGGATCGTATACTGCAAGACTGTTGTCCTGGGGCTCCGTCCGGCCCCTGTATCTGTTCGACACGCCTTCAGCTTCCGCGAACAGTTCTACGATCTGGCCCAGCAAGGCTTCGGCGTGCTTGACGTTTGCCTCCGAACCAAAACGCCCCTGAAGCGATGCCGTGTCTCGGACATCATTGTCTAGACTCAGAGACTTGCCCCACCGCGACAGGCGGAGTCTTGCGCTGTCGAGCTTGAGCTGACTTGTCTGGAAGTCTTTTCCAAATGTGCGGCCGAGCTGGACGAACTCGAAGCACTCGACTGTGTTGTTGAAGAGGCCAGCAAGAGCGACGACGCCAACAACAAGACCGGCTGCCTCTGCCATGTCGTTCGCTGGAAATAGAGCGAGCTGGGAACGTCGGATTGTGGAAGATGGAAAGCGAATATCAGCATGCGCAGACGCTCACCGAGGAACGAGCGCAAGACCAGTACTGTATTTGACGTTGGAGGCAGCAGTGCCAGAGCATGAGAGATAAACGCAGCGCTATACTGTACTGTACATAGAATGTGCGGGCAGCTCAGCTGAAGCGCCAGCCCAGCCTTGACGACCCAGCCGTGACGGCTAAGCCTCGCGCGCCAGAGCAGCTGCCGGTTTGCACAAGGCTCTCCCTCCTACACAAACTAGATCGCCAATGTGTGCGATGGCCTTACCTAGCACCAACATCACGTTCGCAGGTGATAGCAACCAGGGGCTGCAGATAGGGCACAACTCTGGCGCTATCCACCTTGCTGCACCCGGCAAGTGCCCGCTCCCGCCTTGACCAACGCTGCGCTAACTGTCCTTCGTCTCTGCAGAACGTCCGGAGACCCCACCACAGCCCTCGTGCTTCGTGCCGTTTCGCCGCGACCCCGACTTCGTCGCTCGTGGAACGCTGCTCGACCAGATCCGCGAACGATGCGCTGCGCCAGCATCTCGCGTCGCGCTGGTGGGCCTCGGCGGGGTGGGGTAAGTGCGGCGGAAGGGGCTTAGGTCGGCGCTCGCATCTAACGCAGGCACAGGAAGTCGCAGCTGGCCATCGAGCACGGCTACCGCACCGCTGAGCAGTCGCCAGATACATGGGTGTTGTGGGCGCACGCCAGCAACACGGCGCGACTCGAGCAGAGCTTCCGCGAGATCGCCGAGCAGGTCAAGGTTCGCGGGCGGAAGGACCCGCAAGCGGATGTGTTCAAGCTGGTGCACGACTGGCTGCGCAACGAGCAGAACGGACGGTGGCTCTTGGTGCTGGACAACGCGGACGATGCTGCTGTGCTTTCCCCGACTGACGGCGGCGCTCTCCAACAGCATCTATCGAGATACATCCCCTCAAGCAGGCATGGCTCCGTCCTGGTGACGAGCCGGACAAAGGGGCGGCGATGCAGGTCGTAGAGGACAGCGACATCATACCGATCGAGCCGATGCACGATGCAGCTGCACACGCTCTGCTCCGCAAGAAGCTACGAGACGTAGACAAGGAAGACGATAGCATCGCTAAGCTGGCGACGACGCCTCGACCACATGCCGCTTGCTCCGGCAGGCGGCGGCCTACATCCGAGAGCGAGCGCCGCGATGCTCGGTGCAGCAGTACCTCGACGAATACCGGCAGAGCGACAGCAGAAAGACAAGTCTGCTGAACCGCGAGGCGGGCCACCTTCGCCGAGATGCAGCAGCCAGCAACTCGGTCCTGATAACGTGGCAGATCTCGTTCGATCACATACGGAGCACAAGACAGTCGGCAGCAGGCCTGCTGTCGCTGATGAGCTTCTTCGACCGGCAGGGATCCAGGAAGGTCTGCTCCGCGGCCAGAGCAGCACAGCAGACGACGGGTTCGAGGACGACGTGCTGGCCGTGCGAGACTACTCGTTTGTCACAGTCACTAGAGATGCAGACACGTTTGAGATGCACAGCCTGGTGCAGCTAGCGACGCGGGCGTGGCTAGAGAACGAAGGGCAGCTCGACAGGTGGAGAGCGCAGTTTATCTCGAACCTGTGCGCAGAGCTGCCGACAGGAGAACACAAGAACTGGAGAGTGTCAGGCGCTGTTTCCCACGCACAGGCGGCATTGCACAGCGGCCGAAGGATAGGGAGTCACTGAAGGAGTGGGCGCTGTTGCTGTACAAGGCGGCATGGTACGCGTGGCAACGAGGGAGAGCAGGCGAGGCAGAGCAGATGTCAGTGGTATCGATGGAGGCTAGGAGCGAGGTGCTTGGGGAAGACAATGCGGAGACGTTAGATAGCATGGATGGTAGGCTGCTAGGCTTGGGCTACAAGAGGCGGAGGCGATGACAGACAGACCTGGCGAGGAGAGGTGCTGGGGCATGAGCATCCACGCTGACGAGCATGACAACGAGTGCTACAGCCGGGCAACGAAGAGGCGACGATGCACAGACAGACGCTGGCGCGGAGGAGAAGGTGCTCGGGCATGAGCATCCCGACACGCTGACGAGCATGGCAACTTGGCAGAGTGCTTAACAGCCAGGGCAAGTACGAAGAGGCGGAGGCATGCACAGACAGACGCTGGCGCGGAAAGAGAAGGTGCTCGGGCATGAGCATCCCATTCACGCTGACGAGCATGGCAACTTGGCAACGTGCTAACAGGCAGGGCAAGTACGAAGAGGCAGAGGCGATGCACAGACAGACGCTGGCGCGGATGGAGAAGGTGCTGGGCATGAGCATCCATCACGCTGACGAGCATGAACAACTTGGCGCTGTGCTGGACGCCAGCAACACACGAGGCGGAGCGATGCTACAGACAGACGCTGGCGCGGAGGGAGAAGGTGCTGGGGCATGAGCATCCAGACACGCTGACGAGCATATACTGTCTTGCCCACCTCCTCACACATCGGCGTCGCTACAACGAATCCCTTGCTCTGTACGAGAGAGCATGCGCTGGGTACCAAGCTGTATTTGGGAAGGATCACCCGACCACGCGTGCATGTCACCAGCATTACGCCGACGCGCTTGCATCGCACGAGCAGTACCAGCTTGCTAGTTCTTCTACAATAGCAGATAGCACCTAAAGTGCACGCACAGGCAAAGGGTTGAAGCTGCTGCACGGATTAGCAAGGATAGGCATTAGAAGCTTAAAGTCGTCTACGAGATGAGGACGAAAGATTCTGTATACTTGCACTAATTACTCTATTTCGAATTTTACGTCGCTGCAAAAATGTATATAAGCCTCTGCCTCTACTAGTATCTGCTCTGAAAATAGGCGTGCGTGGAGTCTAGTGCGGCGTTTGTGCATGTATTCGAGCACGAACGAGTCATGCTTAGCCTCAGCCGCTAGCCGGGTAGCTCCATCTACGTCACGCTCGCGGGACAAGGATCTGAGGTCAGCGCTAATAGAATACCGCTAAGCTACTTGCGGCATTTCTGTACAACTTGCAGGTAGCGCGCCATAGTTGTCGATCCTGCTCTGCAGAGCAATAGACTTGCACAACAGCGCCACAACCCATGATGCCGTAGTACTTCGCTCGGGATACACTCTTTATACATCCTTGTATAGCTTAACAAACTCTTGGATACATGCATACAACCTCTGGCACATCCGAGGCTGTCCGAGGCAGGGCTGTCGTGCATAGCAGCAGCGCATTATGGTATTGCTAGCTAAGCAGGAATTCGTTGGCAAAGAGATAAAGTGCAAAGAAAGCTTTGAGGTTAAGGTCTCTATTCCGAGATTATCTACGTCTCTCCGCTGCGGTTGGCTTTGTTGTGGTGGGGAGCACTGCCGGCATGCCGTCACGCAGGTTTTTCCGCCACACATGGAGGGATAGTAGCCTGCGGCATCCAACTTTACCATCTACAGATAGCGGCGATATCATAAAGTTGTCTCACTATAAATTCATTCACACTCCACTCGCCAGTCACTTAGCGTATTGAGCGAAGACTGTGTATCAGGGTGTTGCTCCCCAAGAACCTGCTCACGTAGCTGAAAGCATCTTTCCATTAGTGCAAGAGCCTCCTCATGACGAGCTTGTGACTGCAGCGTGAACGCGAGATTGTGCATACTAAGCAAAGTGTCAGGATGCTCGTCGGTAAGCACTCTCTTGCTCGTCTGCATCACTTGCACCAGCAGCTCTTCGGCCTCCTTCCACCGCCCTTGGTTCCTGTACGTCTCCGCTAGGTTACCCATGCTGGTCAGCGTGTCAGGATGCTCGTCGGTAAGCACTCTCTTCCTCGTCTGCATCACTTGCACCTCCAGCTCTTCGGCCTCCTTATACCGTCCGTCACTAAACAGAGTCATAGCACATTTTGATGCAAGGCGCAATCTTCCCTCGTCGTCATCGTCCGCCGGACTATGCGACAGAGCATACAGTGCATGCGGAAGCAGTCGTCCCCACTTACTTCTGTTACTATGGTCGCTGTCTGGAAAAACTTGGTGTAGCTGTGTGATCGCGTGTTGAGTCCATTCTTGGAGCCGTCCCTGCACCTGCAGCCGCTTGCGTAGAGCTTGATGGACTAGTCGATGAACATCGAGCGCAGACTCAGCAGGTCGCCTGGTGACGAGCGCATACTTGTCAAGCATCCTGATAGCATCTTCTCTTGCTTGCGTTGAGGATGCCTCTAGAAGATCAATCGAGATGTCCTTTCTGTCTACGCATGCAGCAAGATACAGACAGTTTGCCGCAAACGCATTATCACGACTGATCTGATCTATAGACAGAAACAGTGCAGCAGCGACAGAGTCTTTTACGCCAGAACCTTGTAGTCTACCCGCGGACGAGTTACCGCAGTGCTCGATAGCTTGTTCTTTACAATCGTCCAGTCGTGATCGGTACTCTTGCACCGTCATACCGCTAGCCTTTATACAGGCCGCTGCTTGCATGACTGCTAGAGGGAGATACGATAGCTCTCTCAGCAAGTGCTCGGCTTCCTGCTGCTCAGTGTTCGCTAGTGGCCTCGCTAAGCGGACTTGCAGCATCTTCAGCGCCGCGTCTAGTGTCAGCTCTTGCAGCGCTATGATGTTCTGTGAAGCAAGCGCCTGAGCTGTGTCGGTGTTGGTTATTGTAAAGATGACAGAACATAGCTTAGACTGCGGCAGAAAGTCGGCTAGGTCCGCCGCTTCTGTCGTGGACGAGCCGCCAGATCGCAGAGTGGTGTTTTCTGCGTTGTCGAAGATCAGTAAACACTGTCGCGCACTCATCTCTACTACACAGCGCTTTGCAAGCTGCTTCATGTCGGCCTGATCGTCGTCCCAGCCCACAACATTAAGCTTCTGCGCAACACTTGCATACGACTGGTAGAGACTATCTTTGTCGCTTGCGTCCATCCAAAAGACTGAGCAGCTTTTGTCGTTCTGCCTTGTTCTGTGTGCAACCTCAAGCGCGAGCTGCGACTTGCCTGTTCCGC